CTTTTTTTTTTTTTTTTGAGACAGAGCCTTACTGTGTCACCCAGGCTAGAGTACAGTGGCACAATCTTGGCTCATTACACCTCCACCTCCTGGGTTCAAGCAATTCTTCTGTTCCTCAACCTGTCGACTTAGCTGGGATTACAGGTACGTGCCACCACGCCCAGCTAATTTTTGAACTCCTGGCCTCAAGCAATCCACTCGCCTCAGCCTCCCAAAGTGCTGGAATTACAGGCATGAACCACCATGCCTGGCTATATATCACAGTTTTGAAGCTAATCTGATTCTGTACTCACTGGGATTCCCAACATAATTTTTCCTCTATGACTGCTTTGCAGTGCCTTCTGGTCAATTCTATTTATTTTTATTTTTTTTCTTATGTCTATATGCCAGTGATTTAAGGATAGGATACCTTGTTTTTGACATTCTGTGACAGGGTGCTTGTGAATTTTTTTCCCATTAGTCACTTGAGGGTTTTGTATTGAATATTAACTCATATAGTAAAATTTATCCTCTTAAAGCGTACAATTCAGTGGTTTCTGGTATATTTCACAAAGTAGTACAACCCATCAGTACTAATTCCAGAATGTTTTCATCCCTCTAAAAAGAAACCCATTATCTATTAGTAGTTACCTCCCATTCTCTCCCTCCAGCCCTGGCAACCACTAATCTACTTTATGTATCTATGATTTCCCTCCATTTCATATAAATGTATCATACAATATGTGGTCTTTTCTGACTGACTTTTTTACCTAGCACGATGTTTTCAAGGTCCATCCATGTTGTAGCATATAACATGTCATTACCTCATTCCTTCTGCTTTTTTTTTTTTTAACGGAGTCTCGCTCTGTAGCCCAGGCTGGAGTGCAGTGGCGCGATTCGGCTCCCTGCAAGCTCTGCCCCCGGGTTCACGCCATTCTCCTGCCTCAGCCTCCCGAGTAGCTGGGACTACAGGCACTCGCCACCACGGCCGGCTAATTTTTTTTTTTTTTTTTTTGTATTTTTAGTAGAGACGGGGGAAAAGAAAAAAAAGAGAAAAAGAAAAGAAAAAAGGAAAGAAAAAAAAAAAAACAAAAATACAAACCAAAAACCAAAAAAAAAATGAGAAGGAATAAATAAACCAGACTGAAAAAAAAAGAAATTGTGGAAGACAGGCTGAAGAAACAGAAGTGAGGCCAGAATATGGAGGACCCTGACTAAAAAAAAAAGGAGTTTGGACTTCTTTCCCCCCAACAAAAAAAATAAATCATTATTTTCAAAAAGATTAATAAAAAAAAAATATAATAGACTGAATTATATAAGAAAAAAAAAAATGGAAAATCCTGTAAGTTTAGAGACAAAAAAAAACTAGACATTAAGTGATGAGAACATAAAGTGTGACTGAAAGTCTAGGTGAACAAGATATTAAAAAAACAATAAAATCCAGCCTGGGCAATATAAGTAGAAAAAAAATTTAAGATTTAAAAACAAAACAAAACAAAAAAAAAAACAAAAACCACAATGGGGAAAGGATAAAAAAAAAAATAAGTGGTGTTGGGCTGGGTACGGTAAAAAAAACCTGTAATCCCAGCACTTTGGGAGGCTAAAAAAAAGGGATCACTTGAACCCAGGAGTTCAAGAAAAAAAAGGGTAACATAGCAAGACCCCAGCTCTAAAAAAAAATTTAAAGAAAATTAGCCAGGCATGGTGAAAAAAAACTGTAGTCCCAGCTACTCAGGAGGCTGAAAAAAAAGGGTTGCTTGAGTCCAGGAATTCCAGGAAAAAAAAGGCTATGATTGCAGCACAGCACTCCAACCTGGGTGGAGACCCTGTCTCAAAAGATAAACAATAAAAAAAAAAGATTCATAACTTACATGTAAGAGATAAAAAAAAAGGAAAAAATTAAACACAACTCAGATTAAAAAAAAAAGTAACTAAAATCTAGTTAAATATCTAAAAAAAAAAAATAGTTGGAGTGGAAAAATAGCTGAAAAAAAAAGATTAATAAAAGTTGGACAAACACTGAAAAAAAATCAATTTTTACTGGCATAGTCCCTGACAAAAAAAAAATTTTTACCAACTTTGAAGGAATATTGAAAAAAACAAAACTAAACAAGAAGACACACTATTAAAAAAAAATTGCAAACCAAAAAGAAAAGTGGCAAAAAAAAAATTAGACATTCTCTGGCTAAATGTTGTAAAAAAAAAATAATAGAGTGTTAAAGCAGAAATGTGAAAAAAAAATAGACTGGACCTTTCTAGATATAAAGAAAAAAAAGTATCAAGTTTTTTTTTTTTTTTTTTTAAAAAAAAAGTCGCCAGGCTGCAGTGCAGTGGCGTGATCTCCGCTCACTGCAACCTCTGCCTCCCGGGTTCAAGCGATTCTTCTGCCTCAGCCTCCTGAGTAGCTGGGATTACAGGCGCCGCGTTCGGCTAATTTTTTTTAGTATTTTTAGTAGAGACGGGGTTTCACCATGTTGGCCAGGCTGGTCTCGATCTCCTGACCTTGTGATCCACTTGCCTCGGCCTCCCAAAGTGCTGGGATTACAGGATTACAGGCGAGAGCCACGCACCGGGCCAAGATGTATCAAGTTTCTTTTTTTTTTTTGGAACGGAGTCTTGCTCTGTCGCCCAGGCTGGAGTGCAGTGGCGCGATCTCCGCTCACTGCAAGCTCTGCCTCCTGGGTTCACGCCATTCTCCTGCCTCAGCCTCCCGAGTAGCTGGGACTACAGGCACCCGCCACCACGCCCGGCTAATTTCTTGTATTTTTAGTAGAGACGGGGTTTCACTGTGTTAGCCAGGATGGTCTCGATTTCCTGACCTCGTGATCCGCCCGCCTCGGCCTCCCAAAGTGCTGGGATTACAGGCGTGAGCCACCGTGCCCGGCCAATGTATCAAGTTTCATGTTTTAATTATATACAACTTTGTGAGAATGTTCAACAGTATCCCAACTGGGAACTGTTGGCTTAATGGATTTGAATTAAATAAATGTTTGTCTTTGAAGCAAAATAAGAAGTAAATATTTAAAACTTATCAAACAAGTTTAAGAGTCACTTATCAGTACTGCAGCTGAAACTCTATAGTCAAAACAGCAGGTTTAAGCCAGGGCAAAAAATTTGTCACACGAGGGGAAAACAGTTGCAATTTCATTCAGTTGATCAAATTAAAAAAATAGTAAGTTAATAAAAGTAACCAAGGACTGTGAAAAGTCACATGTCTATTTATAAGACTGCAACAAGCTTATCAAATGTGTAAAACTCTTTACTTAAATGTTGCACATTTTATCACCCAGGAAGCAACGCAATGCACACACTGTCTTAAACATACAAATGACAAAGAATGACAAAGAAATTCCCTTTTTATTTCAGCTACCAGAACTCACCTTTATTGTCAAGGAATACATAACCATCAAAGCGATCTCTGAACAAAATAATGTCCTCTTGGTTTTTAAAGTTGATGTATGCTCTGGCATACATATGAGGATACAAACTGCAGAGAGGAAAGCAATTATGTAAATGTACTTGCAGGTGTCTGGCCCAATTACAAGTATGCATATATTAAAGACAAGCTCAAAAATTAAATGGAAAACAGTAGGATAAAAAGAGTGAAAGAAACCTTTTTCATTTACCCCTTTCCTTTTTTTTTTTTTTACCTCGTATCATTAGAAAAAAACTCAAAATAATCATGCTCAGGCATAGGTTGAAGATGTTCCTGAAGCTGCTCCTTGGTCAAAGTGGGAGGTAATCTTCGAATTACCACCTTAAGAAATGCATAAGGAAAATAAAATTAGTAAAAATCAATTTTCTCTCATACCTGAAAGAATCACAGTTCCTGAAGAAGACTGGGCTTTTTAAAATATGAGATCACTTGTAAAAACCCAGGAGAAAATATTCTGCAGCCCAATGCTCAGAATTAGTTAAAGATAATAGTAACGCGGTTTTAAAAAAAACGCTTGGAAATGAGAACCACCTGGAGCAGGGAAAAATCTCAGGTTTTGCTCTTTACAGCAGCCCTGCAGTTTACCAGGTTTGTGCATCATTTTCGATCACCCATTTTTTAACAGATCTAGTGGCAAGAAATTAGTAAGCCAACCCTGGTCTTTGTGGGTGCCACGAAATCTTGATTTAGTAACAAGTTTCTCCCACGTCCAACACATCTTAAAACAAAATCCTTGCCCATTGAACTTAAGAATTCAAAACTCTAACGAATACAAAAAATCCACCCATTGCTCTCAAAATAGGATGCTCTCGATCTACCCTCCCGTACCATTAATCACCCTGAACTCTCCCCCAACTCGCCTCCATGAATAATATTCCCATCCCTCATGTCTCCTTCAGTATTTAATATTTCTCCCCAATTACACCTTTAGTTCCTCATTCTTTATACCGTCGCTCTCTCCTCCCATTATCACCTCACAGCTCTGACCTAAACCCTTCCCGTTTGGGGAGTCCCCCCTTTTCCTCACCCCTACCCAGGATTTGGCCGGGAGGGGCTCTCCCCATTTCGGGAGAAAGGATAAACCAGGATGGTGCGACTTCCATTCAGGCGAAGAGAAGAACGGGAACCTGAGAGAGAAAGGGGCTGGCCCCATTCCCAGCCATCCTCCCCGCGCTGCGGACCCGTCCCGCCCTCTCCCGGGCCAGCGGCCGACCGGGCACCTTGCTCAGCGCTTCTTTCTTCTCCTTGTTGCGATCCTGCTTATCTTCCCCCTTGGAGCTGTCCCCCGAGGTCCCACCACCGCTGCCTGTGGCCCCGGCGGGGGTTAACAAGGTTACTCGCTTCTCCTTAGGCCTGTGCTCCTTCTCTTCCTTCATGGCTACGTCCCCCGCTGAAGCGGCTCGGCCGGAACGGGGCTACCCCGGGCACCAACGGCTCCAGGGAAGCTCCCGTCAAAGCTCCGCCCCCAACAAATGCCCCTTATGATAAGTCGGGCCCCGCGTTCCACTGTGGCCTGCCAAGCTCTCGCGAGACTTGGGCCTTTCCCAGTGCAAAGGTTTCAACACCTGGTTTTTACTTCCCGCCCGCCAAGTTCCTGTGCCACCCAATCCCCTCGCGGCGCAGACTCCCTCTGGGCCCGCCCCTTCGCGCGTCATTAGCAACTCCGCCATCTTGAAGTGACTCTGTCGGGGACTACAAGTCCCGGCATGCAAAGCAGCTGCCCGCTTTTGTTGGGCGTTCAGGAGCCAGAGGTATCTGAGGGTCCCTGTTTGTAAGTAAATCGAATCCTTTCATCTTCAGAGTTTTTCAGGTCGAAAGATACGTTCTGCACGCTTAGTTTCCATCGGATAAACTCAATGCCGTCCAAATTTTGCCTCACTAGGGGAGCGACTTGTATATTTTGTCTTTGAATTCAGAGGCTTCAGAATTTATTTTCCTACAACTCAAAGAAAGAGCCTAACATTAAAAAAAATTATTTTCCTTATATTGATTAGGATTTACAGATACTTAGTAAACACTACAATATTAGCCGAGTTCAGTGGCGCGCGCCTGTATTCCCAGCTGCTAGGGAAGGCTGAGAAGGGAGGATCTTGAGTCCAGGAATTCGAGGCTGCAGTGAGCCATGATCGCGCCACTGCACTCCAGCTTGGGCGACAGAGCGAGACCCTGTATCTAAAAAAGAAGGATAATAATAAATAAACACAAGATACTGATATTTAAAGGAGTAATATGACCAAAATATACGAGATTTGTTTTCATCACCTTATTTTACAAAAGGATCATTCTCCCCAGGTACTGAGGTCCCACAGGGAAGGGAATAAAAATAAAACCCAATTTGATTTAGTTGTGATCACCCTCTTCACTTAAAAAGGGCCAATTTTACATTATTTATAATAACTCCAAACTGGAAACAATCCAAATGTTCTCAACAGGCAAAGGGATAAAACAAAATATGGTACAGCCATAGAATGAAATGCCACTCAGCAATAAAAATTAACTATTGATATACACATCAACATAAGTGAATCTCACAGTGATTATGTTGAGTGACAGAATCCAGACACAAAGAGAGTACATGTTGTACAATTCCATTTATATGAAATTTTAGAAAAGGTAAAACCACAATGATAGAAAGCACTTCAGTCGGCCGGACGTGGTGGCTCACGCCTATAATCCCAGCAATTTAGGAGGCCAAGGCGGATGGATCACCTGAAGTCAGGAGTTCGAGACCAGCCTGGCTAACTTGGCGAAACCCTGTCTCTACTAAAAACACAAAAAATTAGCTGGGCGTGGTGGCTCATGCCTGTAATCCCAGCACTTTGGGAGGCCGAGGCAGGCAGATCACCTGAGATCAGGAGTTCAAGACCAGCCTGACCAACTTGGTGAAACCCTGTCTCTACTAAAATACAAAAATTAGCTGGGCATGGTGGCGGGCGCCTGTAGTCCCAGCTATTTGGGAGGCTGAAGCAGGAGAGTCACTTGAACCTGGGAGGCAGAGATTGCAGTGAGCCGAGGTAGAACCACTGGACTCCAACCTGGGTGACAGAGTGAGACTCCATCTCAAAAAAAAAAAAAAGAGAGAGACAGACAGACAGACACCCATAGAGGACAAAAACCAAAGTAAAGATGCAATAGGAGCCCAAGGCAGAAAGCTGCCTCAGGGCAAACTCCCATTTTTGCTGACCTCTAGAATATATTCCCCTGACTCTGCACTTAAATTTTTTCACTCTAATTGTCCAGCCTATTTTTGGATTCCTATTCCTGTGGCCAAAACTGTTTCCCTGTATTTGGGATCTGTTACTCTTTCTTTCAGTACCTGGCCATTCTTATGAGCCTTGGAAATCATCAGAGTCATGTATCCAACTGCCTATTTAACATCTCCACTTAAGACGTCTAACGTGTTCAGCCACTGAATGCATCCAAAACCGAACACTTGATCTTCCCCCACACCAACTGTATTAGCTTCCTATTCCTGCTGTAACATTACCACAAATTTAGTGGGTTTAAATAATGCAAGTGTATTATCTTACAGTTCTGTAGGTTAAAAGTCCAACAAGGTTTTAAGTTTGTCCTGTGAGGGGGCAAAAAATATAGTAAGGCTGAGCGCGGTGGCTCACACCTGTAATCCCAGCACTTTGGGAGGCCGAGGTGGGGGATCACGAGGTCAGGAGATCAAGACCATCCTGGCTAACACGGTGAAACCCCGTCTCTACGAGAAATACAAAAAATTAGCCAGGCGTGGTGGTGGGCACCTGTAGTCCCAGCTACTCGGGAGGCTGAGGCAGGAGAATGGCGTGAATCCAGTAAGTGGAGCTTGCAGTGAGATTGCACCACTGCACTCCAACCTGGGTGACAGAGCAAAACTCCATCTCAAAAAAAAAAAAAAAAGTAAAAATAAATAAATAAATAAATAAGCAGTCCAATATGGGTCTCACTAGGCTAAAATCAAAGTGTTGGCAGGACTGAGTTCCTTCCTGGAGGCTCTAGGAGATAATTGATTTCCTTGTCTTTTTCAGACTCTTGAGGCGGCCCATATTTCTTGGCTTGTGAACCCTTTGTCTTCAAAGCCAGCAGCATAGCGTCTCTCTCTGACCCTGCCCCTACTTCTGTCTATTGTCTGTATCTCTTTTACTCTCTGCCTTGCCATTCCAAGTTTTGTTTTGTTTTTTCAGGGTCACAGCTCACTGAAGCCTTAAACTCCTGAGCTGAAGTGATCCTCCTGCCTTAGCCTCCCAAATAGCTGGGACTACAGGTGCATGCCATCATGCCCAGCTAATTTATTTTTATTTTTGTAGAGAAAGGGTCTCACTGTGTTGCCCAGGCTGGTCTCCAACTCCTGGCCTCCCCACTTTCCCCTTTCACTTTTAAGGACTCCTGTGTTTACATTGTGTCCGCCTGTAAAATCCAGGATAATCTCCCTATTTTAAGGACAGCTGATTAGCAACCTTAATTTCCTTTTGCTGTATAACCTAACATAGTCTTGGGTTCTGGGGATTAGGATGTGTACAACTTTGGGGGAGATATTATTCTGCCTAACACATACTGTAGACTTCCTTTTTAATGAAACTTTTAATTGCAGTATAACACGTGTACAGACAAGTGCACTAAAAGTAAGTATCCAGCTTGCTGAATTTTCACAAAGTGAACACACTTATGTAACCAGCATGCAGATCAAGAAACAAAACATTGCCAGCACTCCAGATGCTCTCTTCCTGCTTGTTCCCAGTCATTTTCACCACCAAGAATATCACTATCCATTTTGCTTTTTCTTTTTTAGCAGCTACATCCTTCTATGAATGACTTCTAATACTATTGAGTTTGTCTGCTTTGAACTTTACGTAAACTGAATCATACAGCATGTATTCTTTTATGTTAGTCTCCTTTCTCTCAACATTTATGACTGAGATTTATGTATTTATTTATTTAGAGACGGAATCTTGCTCTATTACCCAGGCTGAAGTGCAGTGGCACCATCTTGGCTCACATCTTGATTCACTGCAACCTCCACCTCCCGGGTTCAAGCAATTCTTCTGCCTCAGCCTCCCCAGTAGCTGGGACTACAGGCATGTGCCACCACACCTGGCTAATTTTTGTATTTTCAGTAGAGATGGGGTTTCACCATATTGACTGTTGGATACAGGGAGTTCTAGATTTCTCTTCAAAGAATCAGTATGTCAGTATGTTCAGTTCTTTGTCTTCCATTGTAAAGTTTAACTTTCTCGTAGTTTCAGTAAACAACCTTTTCCACCAGTTTTAATCAGTAGTTCACATCTGTTCCCCTGGTCACCTGCTCGGTCCTGACTCACCCTGGTCATCCGCTTTGACCTGAGTCACCCCTGGTCACTTGCTCTGACCTAAGCCACCTTTAGTTACCTGTTCCTAACTGTCCTTCCCGCCAAACTACTTACCCCGCCACTCTGTCTCATACCCCTGCTCTCTTTAAAGTAGCCAATCGGAATTAGCTTAGATTGTGCAGTCCAACCCTAGCCAATAGGGGAACGACACAGCAGTAGGGGCTACCTGTGTCAGGAATAAGAACCCCTTCCCCTCCCTTGTTCAGGTGAGCTCTTGCCGTTACTCCATTCACGAGTTGCACCCTTCTATAGAAGTAAAAATTGTCTTGCTGAGAAAATTAAATTTATGTTTAATTTAAATTAAAAAAAAAAAGTGCTATTTCTTTGTGGCACCGAGGAACAAGCATTTTGTTTCTAACATTGGCCAAGCTGGTCTTGAACTCCTGACCTTGTGATTCACCTGCCTCGGCCTCCCAAAGTGCTGGGATTACAGGCGTGAGCCACCACGCCCGACTCATTTATGTTATATGTAGCTGTGGATTATTCCTTTTCACTGTTACATATTATTCCATTGTATGAGTCTACTACAATTTATCCCACTCTTAGGGGCTAATACTCATGGTGCTACTGGGAACATTTTAGAACATATTGTTTGGTGATTCATGTCAGATACATACCTAGGAGTGGAATTGCTGGATCACAGAGTAAGCATATGCTCAACTTTAGTAGATACTACCATAGAGTTTTCCAACAGGGTTGTACCAATTTACACTTATCAGCAGTGTGTGAGATTGCTTCATACTCTTCCCAACATCTGGTATTGTCTGGTAGGTGTATAGGGGTAGCTTATTGTAGTTTCACTTTGCATTTCTCTGATTAAGTTGAGCACCTTTTCATACATTTTTTCACTGTGTGCCTTTCTATTCTCTTGGTAATTGCACCATGTTATTGTATTATTTATTCCAGAGCAAAAGAAACAAAACAAAACAGGGATGGTGATATGGCTCCTTTCCACCAAGTAAGGGGGAGAGCAAGAGTGTGTGCGTGCGTGTGTGTGAGAGAGAGGGAGAAAGAGAGCTGTCCCTAAAGTTCCTCGCACCACTGATTCTCTTAGGGGCTCCAAGTTTCCTCTTCCCACTTCCGATGATGAGCAGTATCATGTTTGGGACCCCACTTTAGAAAAACAGAAGGAGGCTCTGCCTGTAATCCCAACACTTTGAGAGACTGAGGT